AAGAGTAGAGATAGAGTAGAGGGGTTGGAAGAGTATAGAGAGAAGAGTAGAGATAGAGTAGAGAGGCTGGAAGAGTAGAGAGAAATAGAAGAGTAGAGAGAGATAGAAGAGTAGAGAGAGAGAGAGTAGAGGGGCTAGAAGAGTAGAGAGAGATGGGAGTGGCTAGAAGAGTAGAGAGAGATAGAAAGTGCAGACCTGTTTGGCTAAGAGGTGTAGATGGAATGTGTTGCACAGGAGGAAAAAGGGAAGAGAAGAGGACTTCAGGACTGCTGGGCTGACAGGCTAGAAAGGATGAACTGCTGAGAAAAATGGGCTTATGAATGATGAAGGGACCGCTGCGACACTGTAAGAAATAAACAGAAACTTACACAGTACGTGTAGGCCTGTCAGTGTCATTTTATCTGCCGGGTATCTTATTTAGGTTCTTGGATTGTATTTTGTAGGAAAAATGGAGTGAAAGAGTGGGGTAGAACAGCAAAACACAAAATAGATTCCTCCCCCAAGAAAAACCCTGAACAAAAACAAACAACAGTTTCACAGTGCCAGTGGGTGTTACACAATTTTTCTAGAAAGTCAATGAAGTGAACATCAATATTTTTCAGAGAAGAAAGGTTTTCTCAAGTGCACTGCCAAGCCAATCAGGTAAAAGCTATTAAAGAGAAATCATCTTTATTCACGAAGCATCTGTTCCCCCAGAAGGCCAACTTGCCAAATCTTAGTTTTCTTTTCCTTCTTTATTCAGGCTAAATGCCATCCTCCTCCAGAAAGCTGTGCTCTTTATAGGTTCACCCATTCCCTTCTTCTTTTGATGAGTCTCAGGTCTCTATCTCTTTCTGTGTTTTGTTCTCATTCTTTCTGGACTCCTTGGATTTTGATCCATTTCTTCACTTTCAGGGTGTCCCACTCCACCGGCTCTTACAACCTACACAGGTCTCCCCAGCATCATCGGATTATGGTACTGCTCACCATCATGTCTCTGTTCAAATCCTCTCTTCAGAGAAAACTTGCTATCTGGGTTCTTCTACTCCTTCCCCTTCTTCCATCTCCCTTTCCTTTGCTCTTCGCATGCACTCTTTCCCTAACTCCCATTCCCTATGTTTCAACCACATTTTCTAGGTGGAAGAATCTAAATCTGCATCTCTAGACCCAATAATTCTCATGCATTAGTGCCAGAATTTAAATGTCTTACTACACCCTTCTACCAAGATATGCTACCAGCTAGTAAAACCCAACACATCTAAAATTAAGTGTTGGGGTACCTGGATGGCTTAGTTGGTTGAGCACCAGACTCTTGATTTTGGCTCAGATCATTAACTCGGGGTCATGAGATCGATCCCTATGTGGGGCTCCACACTGGGCCTGGAATCTGCTTAAGATTCTCTCTCTCACTCCTCCCCAACTCTGTCTCTCGAAAAATAAAAATAAAAAATAAATTTAAAATTAAGTGTGTATCTCCCACCTTCAAACCATTTTTTTCTTTCCTTTTCTTGCCTCTCTTTTCATCCACGCCTGTCTTGCCCAATCTATGTGTGAAACGTCTTAAAGTTACCCCTGCTTTGAATTCCCACTGCCACCATTCTAATTATACAAAAGAAATTAAAACTTAGGCTCCTACTTTGTTTCCTTCTTGTATGTCCCACTAAAATCAATCCTGCACGGAAGCCTAGGGCTTTAATACATGTAAACTTACTGTTTAATGGATATCTATACCCGTTACATACTCAGGCCTAACATGGCCTACAGGCAATTGTTAGCCATTTTGATTTATTTTTTATTTGATTTTTAAAAAATTGTGATAAAAAACATATAAAGTTTACTGTCCTATTTTTTTTTTTTTAAAGACTTTATTTATTTATTTGAGAATGAGAGAGAGCACATGAGAGGGGGGAGGGTCAGAGGGAGAAGCAGACTCCCCGCTGAGCAGGGAGCCCGATGCGGACTCGATCCAGGGACTCCAGGATCATGACCTGAGCGGAAGGCAGTCGCTTAACCAACTGAGCCACCCAGGCGCCCCTGTCCTAACTATTTTTAAGTGTATAATTTGGTAGTCCTAACTATTTTTAAGTATATTGTCAATTTTAAAAACATGGTTAGTGGGGCGCCTGGGTGGCTCAGTCGTTAAGCGTCTGCCTTCGGCTCAGGTCATGATCCCACGGTCCTGGGATCGACACCCGCATCGGGCTTCCCGCTCGGCGGGGGGCCTGCTTCTCCCTCTCCCACTCCCCCTGCTTGTGTTCCCTCTCTCGCTGTCTCTCTCTCTGTCAAATAAATAAATAAAATCTTTAAAAAAAAAAATTGAGTCAACAGACAGTCCATATCCCTGTGAAATTCATTTTTTTCTCGTTTAAAAAAACAAACAAACAAAAAAAAACCATGGTTAGCTTGGCCACATAACCAGCAAAGGAGAAATCTTGGCCATCTCCATGCTGCTGCTACAGAGGGAATCCCATTCACCTTGTGGTTGAAAATCACTAAAAGTCATTGAAATGAAAAATAATATAACTATAATTTTTTTCAAGTTTGGTGCCATCAAAACTTCATAAAATTGAAACTACTAAGAACTGACAAAAAGATAAAGATGAATAAAACTCCATATATACTTTGGTCACATTTTAACTGTGCACTGGCCACAGTCTCTTTTCCTTCATAAAAATTCACATGGCTGGCCAATACAGAAATTTTTAACCCACCATGGGGGGAAAATATAGCACCCACGAATTCCAAACACCGTAATTGGGCTCTTGAAATTGTCTTCAATGGTCCCACATTATTTTTCTGGCCAAACTTTCTATTATCTTAAGTCACTCAACTCAATTATGCAGAACCCAAGTATAGCCTGGATGTTTCTACTGGCTGGCTTTACTCAATGCCATGGTATAACAATTTCAGAGTAGGTTCTGGAGCCCGACCCTCCAGTTTCAAATTCTGGCTTCACCATGTACTACTACGACATGACTTCAGACAAGCTAGGTAATCTTTCTATGACTCATTTCCCCATCTATAAAATGGGGATATAATACGATCAATTTGAGGGCTGCTCCCGAGACTAAATGAGTTAATTTATTATTGGCCGTTAACACTGCAGACTATGCATACAAATGTTAGTTATTATTATTCCAGCAACCTTGAATGCCTCCCGACGGGGTCGCTCAAATGCCAGCTCCCCGGCGATGCCATCAGGGAGTGACCTCCAGACCCCTCCAGAACTCGGACAGCATTTACAACACGGACAGACTAACAAAGCGCTCGCATGTGCGTCAGCAGGTGCGGGTTCCCCCCGTACCCAGGGCCCGGAAATGCGCGCCTGCCAGGGCTACTACAGCTTTGGGCTCTGTTTCTCACTAAACTGGATATGCAGCTACTTCAGGCGGTGGCGATCGGGTCAAAGGGCGGGGAGAATCTATGCAAAATGGAAAGAGCTAAATAAACGTAGCGGGTACGGACACCGCAGGCCCGAGAGCCCAGCGTTACACCTATTTGGAAGCTCAGGGAAGGAAAGGGATTTGGGCCAAGGCCTACGCCTGCAGCCAAACTCCTCGCCTCGGCGCCCCAGCCCTTGACCTCCAGCGTTTGCTGGGTCGCGTTCGGGATCGGGGCCGCAGTTCCCGCGATCAAGCCTGCTGGACTCGCCCCTGGCCTCAGCGTCCACCCCGACCAGGTCCCGCCGTGTCGCGGGTGCAGTCGGAGCCGCCGAGGAACTGAGGACATCCAGGGCTCTGCCCAAACCAGTCTTACCTCGGGGATTGGCGGCGGCGGGGAAACAAGCAGCAGCCGAAGCCGAAAGGCGGGGCCTCATCATGGCCGCCGGGGGCCAACGCTTGGGGCCGCCCAGCCTCGACCCCGCCCCTACCAGGCCCTCCCACTTTCAGGCCCGCCCACTTTCGGGTCCCACCTCCTGAGTCCCTTCTCTCCGGCCCCGCCCTGAAGCCCCGCCCCTGCAGCCCCGCCCCTGCAGCCCCGCCCCGGTGGCTCGGCCCCCACGATCCCATCGTGCCTCAAGGAACACTTTTCGGCCCAATGCTCTCGGGTTCTTCCTCTTGCTGCTGCTGTTGTGGGCTTCCTCGTCAGGGACTAGTCATCCCCCCTGTTCCCAGAGGCCTGAGGTCTGGCCCCACTTAGCTGGTGGAAAGGATTTCCAAGTAGTCTTTAAAATTATTTTTAAAAACAAGATTATATTATCGTGTCTGGGAGCTCCCATCCCCTAAATCTTTCCAGTTCACCTACTTAGCTGGAGTTACACAAGGGTCATTTTTATTTTTTATTTTATCTTAATTCCAATGTACTTAACAGAGTGTTATATTAATTTCAGGTGTACAGTGTGATCCAACAGGTCCATATATTACTCAGTGCTCATTAAGAGAAGTGTACTCTTAATCCCCTTCACCTAGTTCACCCATCCCCCTCATCCACATGAAGCGTCAGTTTTAAATCTCCAGTGCCAGACACACAGAAGGAGACACACTCCACCAATGTTCCCTTTTTTCTCTTCTCTGAGTATAACTTAGTTGAATTAATAGTTGCTGGTTGATAACTTACAGCAAATCTCTTGATTTTTTTTTATTTTTTGACTTGATTTAATTGCACTGATTGTGTATGTACTTTGCCTTTTGAGGAAATTAAATGTGATCCAAAAAAGCTTCTTTTTTTTTAAACCAGCAGCTAGACTGAGTGTAAATGATACAATCTGAAAGGCAGGACTAGTTTCATGGGGGTGCAAGCCATAGGACAAGGTCCTTATCTCAGAAGGACCTGGCACTTGGTTTCTCTGCTTAGTGTAATTATTTCCTGTGCCACATCGTTAATAATTTTTTAACAAGGGGTTCCCATATTTTCCTATTGCACTGAGCCCTGCAAATCATGTGGCTGATACTGCAGAAAGGATTCATAGGTGAAATGACCTCTCTGGGAGCTGACATTATAAACATGGATGCCAGACTCTGTCCTGTGGCCCATGCCCATTTTGCCATAATGACCTGTGGACTGACCTAAATTGTGGACTGAACCTGTGGACCTGTGGATCAATTGAGACTCAGTCCAAAAATAATGTTTATGTAATCAAAATAAAAAGTGTATTCTGAGAAACTATTGAAGTGAAAATTTCTTTTTGCTTTCTATTACTTTTAAATATAAATCACTGAAAAGGGAATTTTCTTCAAACCGAGTTTCACAACAAAAACAGAATACTCAGGTTTGCAAGTTATTTAGAACTGGTAGGAAATATTTGAAGAAAGTTAAAGGGTGTTTATTTAATAAAATGATTGTTGTGGGGTACAGACCAGCCTAACAACTGTGAGCATGTAGTCTTTTATGAAAGGGTTCTTATGTTACAAATACAGTATGATAATAACCAGAACTAAAATTTCTTTTACTGAGCATAAATAATATTACAATAGATCCCAGTATATTTCTGTTTCTTCTTTGAAACATTTTATATATATTCATACATATATATGTATATGCATGGAAGCAAAGTAAGCCGAAATCATAAATTAAGGTTGATGTTTCTAATAATGAAACTAGTAATAAAAAATGGATGAATATTAACTACTTAAAGAAATAGACAAAAATTATCTGTAAATGTGTGGCTGAGAAGATTTAAGGACTCTGCTGAACTAAAATAAATAGGATGTAATCTTAGGGAGTCAATAAAGAGATTTAATGAATGAGAAAGACTCAACTCTGCTTAAGGTCTTTGGGAAAGGAGATGATTTTTAGAGAGCCTGGAAAAGACACCATACATGAAGAATGGTATAATCTATTGGACATCAGCACTGTGCTACTTGAGAAGTGTTCTTATGGCTTTTCCACAGACTTGATTAGTGTTTCTCAACCTTGGCACCATTGACGTTTAGGGCCAGATAATTCTTTGCTGTGGGAAGCTACCTTGTGCATTGTAGGATGCTTAACAGCATCCCTGCCCTCTGCCCACTAAATGACAATAGGACTCCCCTTACCCCCACAATGTCTCTAGATATTGCCAAACAATTTCCTATTTGAGAAACCCTGGCCTAGGTAAACATTTTTCAAAATTCCTTTTATTTGATTCTGTTCTCATCTAGTGACATTTTAGAGAAGAATAGCCTTCATTATTATTTAATAAATCAGAATTCAGGTTAATAATGCATTAGTCTTTGGAGAATCTAATTGGGGTGATTCATTCTCTAAGAGACTGGTGATCTCTGAGTGTCATACCCACCTTGTAAAATTGAGTTTCTAAATGTGTACTACTAAGGACCAGATTTTGAACCCTGGAAACGCAACCCAGTACTGCAAACGTGTGGCCCTAGGCCAGCGTCACCGCTTGACTTTGTTATCTTAATTCTAACCAGAGTACAGTAGAATGAAGTACAGATGAACCTCAGCAAAGATTATCTTACTCCCATACTCATATTGACAAATGTCCAAATCTCACAGACTATTTTTCCTTTTATTTCCCAATGTCATTTTTTTTTTTAAGATTTTATTTATTTATTTGACAGAGAGAGAGAGAGACAGCACAAGTAGGCAGAGTGGCAGGCAGAGGGAGAGGGAGAAGCAGGCTTCCCGCTGAGCAGGGAGCCCGATGCGGGGCTCGATCCCAGGACCCTGGGATCATGACCTGAGCCGAAGGCAGCCGCTTAGCCGACTGAGTCACCCAGGCGCCCCTCCCAATGTCATTTTTTAACTTCCTTACATCCTAAAGCCTGTATTTCTTTTCCACCACACATTCATAGTATCTGTTACTCCTTACTTGTCTCAGAGACATCAGAGTGACATACAGATGACCAACAGGTACATGAAAAGGTGCTCAACATCACTAATTATCAGAGAAATGCACATCAAAACCACGAGATACCACCTCACGCCTGTTAGAATGGCTAGAATCAAAAAGACAAGAATAACAAGTGTTAGTGAGAAGGTGGAGAAAAAGGAACCCTCATGCACTGTTGGTGGGAACGTAAATTGGTGCAGCCACTGTGGAAAACAGTATGGAGGTTCCTTAGAATGTTAAAAATAGAACTACCATATGATACAGCAATTCCACTTCTGGGTATTTATCCAAAGGAAACACACTAACTTGAAAAGATATCTGCACCATGTACCCGCCCCCCTCCCCATGTTCATTATAGTATTATAACAGCTAAGGCATGAAAACAACACAAGTGTCCATCAATGGATGAATGGATAAAGAAATGTGGTATATGATGGAATGTTAATCAGCCATTAAAAGAAGGAAATCTTGCCTTTTGTGACAAAATGGATGGAACTTGAGGGCATTATGCTAAGTGAAGTAAGTCAGAGAAAGGCCCAAACTGTCTCACTTACATGTGTATGACCTCTCTTATATGTAGAATCTTAAAAATTAATGATAACCCCAAACTCATAGATGGATATACAGAACAGACTGGTAGTTGTCAGAGTTATGCAGTTGGGGGCGGGCAAATGGGTAAAGGGTGAAGTGGATCAAAAGATACAAACTTCCCGTTGTAGAGAAAGTCCTGGGAAGCAGTTCAAGATGGCGACATAGGGAGATCCTGAACTCCTTTCTTCCTGCGGACATAGGGAATCTACAATTACATATGGAGTAATTTCCTCTGAAAAAGACTTGAAAACCAGCTTAGGAACGCCTTCACTTGGGCAAATGAAGACATCGAAGCAGGTAGGAGAGGCCGAGACACAATCTCACCTTTAACCTCCCTCCCTCAGTGACTCGCGGTCAGGAAGAATCCCACAAACTGGAAGTTTCTCCCTGAGGAGTGTAGAGTTTGGACCTCACCAGAGGCACCCCCAACTTTTAAGACCTGCACCTGAGAAAGGAACCCGCAAAACATCTGGCTTTGAAAACTTAACAGGGCTCAAGGCCATGAGACCAGAAGGGAACTGAGGAACGTTTAGGGCCAGATAATTCTTTGGTCTTTAAATGGGCTCCCGCAGACTCAGAGGCCCCAGGGCCCAGAGCAGAAGCAGCTTTTAAAAAGTACCCAGAATTTAGGTGAAAGAGATTCATCTGCTAATTTTATGTTCTTTATTTTTTAAAGATTTATTTATTTATTTGAGAGAGCGAGCAAGAAAGCGCGTGCACGTGCCTCTGCGCACCTGCGAGCAAGGTTGGAGGAGGCAGAAGGGAGGGTGAGAGAGAATATCAAGCAGAGGGTGCTGAGAGCAGAACCTGTCATGGGGTTCAAACCCACCACCGAGCCACCCAGGCATCCCTCATCTGCTAATTTTAAAGCATCCCTGGAAGTGGCAGGGGCTTTTTGGGGATACTCTTAGAGCTGCTCGCGGGCACCATTTTCCAAGATTTTTTTTTTTTTTTTTCTCTAGACCTTTCTTCTTTCCTTGGTGGGTGCCGTGTTCAGGCTCTCCCTCTGCCACGCTCCACAGCCTCAGGATCTTCCGCGGGGAGCTTTTATACAGTCTAATGCCCCAGTTTCTTGCAGCCACAGCCCAGGGGAAGCCCCTTGATTGTCTGGCTTTGGAGGCGGTAGCACCAGCCTTCACCCCGAGGGCACTGCAGTGATAGCGACTGAAACACACCCCTGTCTTTTTGAGAAGGGGGCCCATCTGCTGGTCCAGGAGCTTTGGCCTGAGGAGCAGGCTGCATTTCTGTTCTTACGGATTTCTCAAGATCTCAGCCTCCCCAGCCAAATTAGTACCACCTTCACCTTGCCTTTCACAGATTTCAAAGCTGCAAAAAAAATTACATATTCCCATTTTCATGATTTGTTAGATTCGTCCAAATTTTTAATACATTTTTGTTGTATTATGTATAATATTAATTATGTTAATAATAGAAAAATATATTTAAAAATGCAGAACCCTTAGAAAATATAGAATAGTGGAAAAAGAAAATTAAATCACCA